AAATGCATCACTTATAATTTCATGAATGCTTATGAAATATTAAATAGCATGCATAGTGTGTGATCAGGACTGTGTGCTGGGAGAGGGGATTTAACCACCCCACTCTCCTTGGTAGCTGTAGTCCCAACAAAATCAGACACACAAAACCTGCTCGCTGTTCCAGGAAAGAAGTTCCCATTGTAGTAACTTTCTTCCTAAACTAATAGCAGCATGGGAGGAGAATGTTTTTGCTGGGACTGAAACTACAGGACAGTGGAGGTTCAATCTCCTCTCCTAGCAAACGATGGCCCTAATCTTCATGTGGAGGGGGGCAAGGAGGGGGAGCTACCTACCACTGACCATTTAAAAAAGAATCACTACCTTAAGTGATGCATTTAGCACTGTGTGTAGCTTAGCCCTTACTTTCAAGGAAACAGCAAGTCATTATTGAACTACACCTTTGCCGTGGTGTCTGTTTTACCACCACATTTAGTTAGGACTTTTCAGTAATATTCAGCATGGACAAACGTGCCACAGAGTTATCATTACTAGGATATTTCATAGGATAAAAAGCTTCTTGCTCCAGCTGATGTAGATGCAAGTTGCTGTGTAGGAAAATAGATGACATTCGGTTCCATGTGCAACATATGATTCTGGGTGAACATGAATACTCCATATATGCAAACATTATTCTCAGATACCACCTTCTATCATGCAACCTATGAACAAAAGAACAGCAACAAAGATAGTGTTACCTGCTTCCGAAATTTCATCCAGGTACAGGTTAAGGGCAGAGTTCCTGCAACTTTGCACAACAGCTCCACCGATTCACCAGCCCGAACTTTTTGGTCTTCTGGGAACTGAACAATCTGGGGGGGAAGAGCTGGCAAAAAGGGAGGATTTATTTAGAGGTAGGGTTCTCACTGGAGTAAGTTCTTGGCTCTGAGTTTAGGAAGCTAACAATTAAGGCATTAAAAGTGTGCCTACATCTATGCGGCTCTGCTTTCCTCCATTTTTCACTGATGCAGGGCTGCTTCTTGGGCTGACGGGCAGACTTTTCAAAGTTATCATGTCAATGCATCCAGATGGGTAAGTTAACCTATTCCCATTTATCTAACCATTCTTTCAAAGCTTCACCTGTGAAAAGAGCCCAGCAAAAAGGAGCCCAGTCTCCTGGCTGAGTGAAGCCAGGGATGGGGGGTTAGAAGTAAAGCACACCAACAGCTCAACCAGGATTACAGGATAACAAGGCAGCAATTTCAGCTCAGTCTTGGAGATGCCCTATAGAGGTCTCTAGAGACAAGACTGAGCTGACAAATGAGGAAGAGCTGCAGCTCAGTGGTAGAGCAACTGGATCAGTGCTTGCCATCTCCATGTTAGGACTGGGAGAGAACCTTTCCTGAAACCCTGGCGAGCATTTCCGCGTAGGTAGCGCTGAGCTAGACAGACTAATGATATGACTGGGCTTATTCACACTTACCTTTTGCCTTGCTCTTTCCAGGCACAGGTCCACACTTTAAAGCTCTGTGTCCAAGTGCTCTTCTTTTTTCCCCTTTCCCCATGAAAACATGCTCTTTAAAGCTGAAGCGCAACAACCAGAAATTAGAGTTTTCCGTGGATTCAGCTTTAAAAGAGTTGATTTTAATGGGGAAAGCACTGGAGCAAAAAAGAAAGGGAAAATAAAAGAGAGCACTTGGACACATAGCTTTAAAGCATTAGACTGTGAAGCATTAGACTGTGCCTGGAAAGCATGGAAGAAAGGGAAGTGTAGATAAGTCCTGCATATAAAGATAGCTTCCTATGGTAAAAACAAACAAAGGTTCCATGGAGGGCACTCTTGCCTAAAGTGTCCGTAATGAAGGGGGTTGGACTTCCTCCCTTGGTTTTGGTCTATGTAGTCACTCAAATCTCCCTCTACAGATGATGCAAGCTAAAAAGGATGTGTATGATTTTTTTCCCAGACCTATAGGGAGGAAGATCTCAGATAATTTCTGAGTTAATTTGACGGAGCTATGGGACAGCTCACCCATCTCTAGTCCCAAATTGAATGCAGCTAACCAGGCATTTTTTGTGGGCCACCAGACCTCCATTAAGCCTCTTGCTTTTTTTAGCTGCCTGGCACTGCAAAAACACTCATTAAGCACGAATCGTTGGCCCTAATTTATAGTTGATGAACAGCATTTGACTTGATGGGTTATGAATTCTCCAGGTCTGGTTCAGTGTGAGTAAGGGCATGTATGGGGCAGAAATCTATCCATCAGCACAGGGGAAAAAAATCTGATTTGGGATAAGAATTTGGTTAGTCTTTGAACTAAAGTCACTTTATTCAGTTATAATTGGTTTTTACTTTTAACTTGGGGAGGTCTAATGAGAGGGAGTTTAAGACTTCCGGTCTGACAGAACTGCACAGTCTCTTGAAAATGCTGTGTGTCTAAGCCTTAAAACAACATATTGTATTACACTGATACAAACACACACCTGATAGACCTACAAAAGAAGACAGGTAACTGAGAAACATTGTCCTGAACTGTCAAGCTATCAAACTCAAATGGGTACAACTAACAAGGTTGTTTAAAGTGTGTTGCATGGTAATTTTTCTGCATTTGTTTACTGTTCTCTTGTCTGTATTAATAGCAATATTCCAATACCTGCTTTGGGTGAAGTCTTGGGAGCTGGTTTTTTCTTCACTGTTGCCTCACCTAATTAAACAAAGAGAGGGGTTTGTAGATGAACTTTGTGATGAGCACAACAAAATATGTGAATTCACTATACAAGTAGAAGCTGCCTGTTTGCAAAAGGGAACTGTGTAAACATGGCACTGTAACAAATGTCAGGATCTCCCAACATCATTTTACTTTTGTAAAAAAGTCACTGGGAATCCCTTTGTTGGATTAGGATTATGAGATTCTAACCAGATCAACTCCCTGCTATTCCTACCAGCCAGAGGTAGAAACTTGTGCACTTAAAAAAAAAAAAGTACCAACATAGCTAATAGCAAATGGTGCAGAGGCAACTCTGGTTTCAGGTCCCCTGCGGCATGAGGAGAAAGCATCCAATTCCCCTCCCCCATGTCATGGCTCCAATCCAAAGCAGGGGCCCCCACTGTTGCTTTTACAAAAAATAAAATTATATTAGCAGCTCCATACACACAATGTACCAATGTAATGAGTGTAGTTTTGCCCTGAGAGGAGATGGGCGCAGCCTCCCCAGAATGCATTTGTTTCCTGTCAAGAGTAGGACTGAGAGCAAACGGGGACAAATACTCCTATAATGCGGCTATGTAACTAATCATCTGTACGTTTGTTTTTAAGGGGTGAGATTTTCAAAGCATTAAAAGGCTGATATTGAAGCAGAATAATTTTAGGCATGAGAAAATCACACCTACTGTGGGGAAAGGCTCCTTTTAAATGGGTTTGCAGCTATGGAACATTTTGCAAATGGTGCAAATACTAGTCCCATAAGCAGAGATGCTCAGAAGCGTCTGTGTTTGTGTCTGTCCCGATCTCCCTCTCGTTTCCCTTTTCAGGCATTTTACTAAAAATAGTAACACGAAACTCCCAACTGCTCCTTCCTTCCCAGGAAATCACTCACTGCACTGTCTGAGCCACACAAAAATGATCAAGTGGAAAAATCTCATATAACTGCAGTAAAGGCTGGAGACTATCTGGGCAAAACCTGTATCCACAAGTCTTCCTGTCATTATGAGTTGCATTCAATGCAGTGCTAAGGCTAAGGTTCCATCAACGCAAGGATTTCTTGCACAACACTGTTGTCCCCCACACTCTGCTGAAGGTCCTCCAAAGTAGATTTGGGGATGTGCAGATGATGATGATGATTAGTTTATTAAACTTGTTAGCTGCTTCTTCTTGTCCAAGACAATTCAAAACAATTTCCAACCAACCATCCAACCAACCATCCACTTCACATTTAAAGAGCTTGTCTATCTTTTGATGCTGCCAAGTTGCATTCTAAGCACCCACAAGATGAAAAAAGATTTCAGGGAGGTTTGGTGCAAAAAGGGGGGGGAAAGAGTTTATTTTGTAGATTGGCTGTCTATATGTTCTCTGTCAAACTACCTCAGGGAGAGTCCTCTCACCTGGAGAAACCATGGCCTCCTGCTTTGTCACACTGCCAAGCTGTAGGAGAACTCCACCACAAATCAGGTACAGATGTTTGATAAAAATAATCAAATTGACAGATTTGTCCATCCTTACTTATAGCTAAGCACAGTGCAACGTGCACTGCTGGTGAGACCTCAGATACCCACCACCATCTTAATTTCCCAGCGTCATCTCTCTCTCTTTATATATATTAGCATATGTAAATATTATGCTCATTTGTGTCATAGGCTTCTGCCCCATTGTCCTTTCAGTACCTACCAATGCCTGCTTCCACTAGAAATTTTACCAATGTGGTCAAGCACAAGGGAGAGCTTATTCTCCTGTACTTTCCCTAGCTTCGCTTCTATAAACCTGAGAGGTTACTTCCAAACAACCAGAAATTTTTAATGACTTCAGCAGTGGTCCATCCTCCTCCCCCCTGCACAATAATGCCACTGCAAAGCTTTTCAAAACAAAAGCTTATAGCTAAGCTTCTAAATCTCCACACTTAGGCTCTTTAATAAGCAGCTTGATATTTTAAAATGCTAGCCATTTAGCAGCTCAAACTTCAGCTGCACTCACAGGACAGCCCATACTTTCTGAGACATAAAGCCCTTCTTTAGGAAACAGAAATTCAAGGAAATTTACCTGAAGCTATAGCTTTAATTTCCAGCGGGAAAAAAGTACTGTTCGTATTATAGATGCCTTTGCACACCATGGGCCATTTAACACCCGTGCCCACTCTGTATTAGTCACTGCTGTGACATCCTTAGAGTCAGGTCAAGGTCTCTCAAAATCCTCAACTATCATTAGCCAAGATTTCTCATGTCCCATGCGGCTTCCTCTCCACTTTGCCATACATTCCAACAATAGCCTCTGCTCCCGGAATTCTCCAGTCTATTTGTATGGTGGGAAGCTGAAGAAACAATGGCTCAGTGGTAGAGCATCTGGTTTGCATACAGAAAGTCCCTTGTTCAAAACCCAGCATGTTGGGAATGTCTGTCTGAAATATTGGAGAGCCACTGCCAATCAGGGTATGCAATACTGAGTTACATTGGTATAAGTAGGAATAGTGGTCAGGGAGGAACAGCACAAGGATCTGGGCTTTCTGGTACCAGAATTGCTGCTGCGTACCAGAGTGGGGCAGGGGTGGGCAGGGCAGGGCAACAGTGAGGGCTGGGCAGTATGAGTCCACTGATGAACCCCTAGTGGCCTTTCCTTGGTATAATGGAGCCTTTTACATTATTATCTTTTACCAAAACCTTCCAACCAAGTTTTCTGAGGGCATTTCTAGCATCCATATTGCCTTTCCTCTCCTGCCCAGTTCTCCCAATATGACAACATAAAACTGTATCTACCTTTCAGACAGCTGTGTCTAGACTTGCATTCCGTAAATGAAAGGCTCCTTCCATTTGCGGAATGAGCTTTGAACAAGCAAGAAAGAGGAGACTATTGTCACTGATTTTCCCTTCAGTTTTGAAGGCCAGTCAAACACACTATTCCAGAAGGTGCTGTAACTCATCAGCGCAGTTGTGGTGTGGTGTGCATGGGAGCTACAAGGGCAGGAGTATTTGGTGAAAATCACCTCCTCCCCTTTCACCAGTGCGAGCATCTCCTGAGCAAAATCCTACTGAGAGAACTTCCAGAGTCTGCAACTGAATTAGTGATCTAGTAAGACTCTTTTCATGATTAAATTAGCATCTTGGCCTTTTGGGAAATGGGCATGTCATGATGCAATCCGCCTTCTTTCCCACCCCTGCTATTTGGGTGGGCAGAGTTCTGCAGTACAGGACCTTGCTTTGCATGAAGAATGGTCCAGGTTCAATCACCAGCATCTCCAGTTAAGGAAGAGCCGCTGCCAGTAATTGTAGAAAATACAGAGCGGGATGGACTCCATATAAGGCAGTTCCCTGTGTTCTTAAGCAACTGTGTCTAAGAATCACACACCATTTTTAATTTTCCACTGCAACCAAGAACAATGCTTTTAGGAGTTCTGGGGCACTGTGTGAAGTTCAAAATGGTGGGGAATACTGGACTAATAGGAGAAAACTCTGCCATAAACAATCTGCTCCCACTCTTAGTAATTCTCAGATTTTGGCCATGTGGATCTAAAGTTGTTTTGTTCATTGACCTTCGATTCCTCTACTATCTTCTTGGGAAATGGTGTGAATCCTATTGTTATCATATGCTTCATACACATGAACTATATAAAAAAGAGGGGGGGTATTGGTTGGGGAGAAGATACCAAGTGCATGCACTGATAATTCTAAGTGGAACTTTAGGCCCATATTAAGAGTGCGGCAACAGAATGGAAAGAAAAGGGAAATAAGATTGTATGAAGCAATTCCTGCCTATATAAAGAACTAGATGCAAAGCAAAACATCTAATCTGATTAAAATGGGTTAACCATGTTTGAGGAATGCCTGCTGCTGAAAGAAAACCACAACACATTTTAGAAGGATCTCTAGGCTGACCTTCACTGAGATGACATGGGCAATTCAGCATAGTTTGTACATTTACAGACAAGAAAAGAACATTTCAGGATTGGGGGAAATAAAAGGCAATTTTCACTGTGCCATGTGGGTTGTGTAACACAGAGATAAGATGTCATGATCAACTTCTATATGTGGCAATCAATAACAACCACCCTTCTCTTCTGCCTGTCCCCAGATAACTATGCAGAATGCAATGTAAATAAAGCCCTCATGGAAAATCCTGCTCTTTGCCAGTATTAACTCAGTCACAGCTTGTCAGGATGGCATAAACTATAAAGCATAATAAGCTGGCGGAGATTCAAGTAACATACCTGGCATAAACTTAAATACTTGCCAAGGAGGAATGGCATGCTCAACCAGAACATTTTCCTTATTGGTTTAGAGCAAGGATGGAAAACCCCTGGTGCTCCAGATGTTGTTGGGCTACCATCCCCACTATCTCATCAGTGTTTGACCCTTTTTCTTTGTTTCAAGTGACCAAATAAGCCAGGCATATGTTCAAAATGCCTTAAAATGTGGTGTTTGCCACACTGATGCTCATCTCACAATGAAAATAGCCTCAAGGAATTCTAGACCAGGTGCTGTTTATCAGAAAGAAAGAAAGAAAGAAAGAAGCCCATTACAGAAACTTTCCTGTACACTCCCCCTGAAACTAGATAGGAAGTCCAATCACAATAATTTTTATTTGAGGAAAAGCAACCTGGTTCAGTTATGATGCAAAACGTGGTGGGTAAGAGGAAATATTTTCTATTTTATCAACTTCCAAGTGTCACTGAGATCTGCAGGTTTAATCCAGGAGTTTAATCTAACTTGCAAGGCAGATCCAAAACTCCCCCACCCTCTACAGGCTGCTTTGACAGGTGGGTGGGGTGGCCCACCTGTTAATCACATGACATCAAATGAGTCTACTTCAAAGCAAGAAGCTGGAACACATTCTAAGTGTGCTCTCAGCTTTCCTTTCCTCCTTTGAAGCCCCAGCTTGAGTTCAAAAGAGATCCTGCGTTTCTAGCTGTAATTCAAAGAGCACACCATTTCCCCAGCAGAAGGGAATGAATGACCATGAATGAGCTTGGTGTGCACTTTTCTGCCTGACATCATACGTGTTGTTTGGGTAAACTAGGAAGCCAGTGGGCCTAATTTGGCCCACAGGCCAGAAGTCTCCCACCAATGATCTAACCCATAAGAAAATAAAATGGACAAACCACTGTAGAACTAATTCAGACAGAGGGACCAACACTTGAGAATTGTTATTTTTCCCACTTTGAAGATTATTTGTAAAATGAGTTCTCACACTATTGATTTGCCTGAGTTCTGTGCAGCATTGGATACAGTTTAGATACAAGTCTGTTCCATGTTTCTTCTAGCAGTTCCAACATACCAGAATCTAGAGCAGTTCCAACTCAGGTTCATCCCCCTCCCCCAAAGAAAAGACTTGGTCATGATAGGTCTCACTCTAAGTACCTGTTGATACCAAAGTTGTTTATTAAAACCATATTCTGTTTAAATCACTTCTCTCAATTTTCCTGGGTCTGTGAGAAATCTTATTCAAAGTGGAAATTTCACAAGCTCTCTGAATAGTGGAACATACTCTATATTTTGTTCTCTGGGACAAATGTGACAGCAAACTCCATTTCTGCATTACAGTTCTCTGCAGTGTAATTTGCCTGTCACTATCTACATAATTATCAAGAAGCACAAATTGTCACAATAAGTGCAGGGCCTAGAAAGCAAGATCTCAGCCTTAAAACTGTTCATTTCCTCATGTTGCACATGTTCATTCTCAGAAGTTACAACGACAATACTACCATTCCACTCCAATGACTTTTCAAACATGGAAAACGTATTTTAAATGTTTAGGAGCTTGAACACAGCGGCATTTTGTTTTTATGCAAGGGGTGGTGGTGGTCCTACTTGAAGCTGTTACTTTATTTCTACATTTTTATAGCAACTATATCTTATTACAGAGTATAAAGTTGCAGGCTAATGAAATAAAAAAGAAAGAGCAACGATGGAACTTTTGCTGCCATCCTCTTAAACATATTGATGCCGAGCTGGGAAAAGGCAAGTGTGGGAAGAAGGTTCTAGAACTCTGGGAGAAAGTGGTGATGCTGTGCTGAAGACTCCATTAATAAAAAGTGATTGGGCACACACCGCTAAGCCCTGTCCACAATAGGAAGTGGTCAGAGGCAGCATGTTGGCTATCAACTATGGCCGCAGACATGTTTAATGCTTTTATAATTGGAGCTTGGAAGAACTACTGGTTCTATCCCTAAGAAATAGGAAATGGAAATTAAATCAAAACATTTTTGTGATTAGGTTGCAAAGACATTTGCCTAAAATGACACCTGTAAACTCCACTCCTCCACCTGGGTAAGATTTTGCTTTGTTTCTGAAGGGCAAGCAACAGACTAGGGCTTTGATCATTCTGGCTACTGAGAGCTAATCCCGGCCAGTTAAAGTAAGTGCTTTATATATATTTTCCACTGTGGAGCTCATGAAAATGAGGAGGAACTTTTGACATGTTTACACTGATGACATCCTTGTACACTGGCACTGCAAACATCTGTCTAATAATTCAAGAACAATGGAACATTGCTAGGACTCAAGCTCTACCCCACTACCAGTTTCACCATTTCTCCTCTTGAAAGTGGGGAGGGGATATCAGCAAGTTGGGGGGGCAGGCAACACAAAAGGATATTTGGATTGGGCAGGCTTACCTTTAATGATTAATTGGCTGTTTTTTGTTTTTAAATAAAAGCTTTGCCGCTGCTTCAAGCAGCTGGTTGGATATGCCTTAGCAACCTGATGGTCTCTCCTTTGACAGTGTTTGGGATGCAGTCCTATAGTGGATTCTCTCTTAAGTTTCACAGGAAATATCACTGAGCTGCAGAGGGAAGCTAATGCACTAATTAAGCCTGTCCCAAAGTCGTCGTCCCCCCGCTCATTAAAAACACACACCAAAAAGCTCTTCTATTGATTGATTGATTGCATTTATATCCCTCCTTTTTCTTCATGGAGCTCAAGGTGGCTTACATGGTTCTCCTCCTCATTTAATCCCCACAACAATCCTGTGAGGTAGGTTGAGCTAAGAGACAGTGACTGGCCCAAGGTCACTATTTCAAGCCCACCCAAAGATTAATCCTGCATTTGCCCTACCCAGCAAAAGTACAGAGACTTGTTAGCTTGAATTATTCAGTCCAGCACTAGCCAGGATATCAGGTCTAAGAAATAACAATGGAGATTTCCCTAGGTTTTGTTCTGGACAGTGTCAGTGGTGATGTATATTAACAACTCTCTGCAGGAGCACAGAATAACCTAGCCAATACTTTTGTTTGAAATAAAATCGGACAGATTTTATGCAGTAGTCAGCATGAAGATTTATTAACTTAAGGATATGAGATACCCCCAAGCATCGTTCTTTTGATTGCTGGAAGACAGACAGAAAAAAAGAAATAACATTACACAGTGAACTGTTTTAAACAGTTGGGATAATTTCCCCCCCAATG